CATTTTTCTCAGCAGCAAAGAAACATCTGAAATATTCAAGAAGGTACAGCATCATATTAAACACGTCTACAGAGCTACTCCCACATACACATAGGAAAACCTGAGAAGGACATGCATTAAAAAGCTTGTGCTTTGAGTTCTACTGTTCATTCCGGTTCATCAGCTTGATTTAATACTATGGCTACTGTCCAGTTCAGTCTGGAGTTACCGGGGTATGCTGTGGAGGGCACAGGGTAAGGCCAGTGAGAGCACGAAATGAAATAATAAGACCAGTCAGCTTCATTCCCATCCAATACATGTTAGAATAATTTGCAGGATTAGTAGAGTATTAATAAGAAATGCACACCGAAAAACGCAGTTAGCTTATCATACCAAGGTGTGAAACATCTATATTGTAAAACCACAGTACACCAGAAGTTTGCTCAAAAGATCAATGGCTCAAGGTAGCATGTAAGATAAGTCCCATAAATCCCACACGAAGCAGCTCCCAGCTATATGTAGTAACAGATAATCCAACTGATGTGCTTCCTAAATTATAAGCACTAAAACAACATGTTGATATGAGGGAATTCATGATGATTATCTTTATAGGATTAAAAAAAAAAAATCTATCATTGATTATTATGAGCAAAGCAAAAAGCAAGCTAAGAAAAACAGGGTTCATCCGCCTGTACCCTGATACCTGTGGAAGATGGAAGCAGGAGTGATTGAAATAATAAAATAAACGGTTTGAACATTCAACAATTAAATCAATAACTGACATAAATGGAATGTAATCTATATCAACAGCACCATGCTGGTTAGTCCTTCAATCACCTTTATCTAATTTCCCTCCTTTGAAAAAGAAAACACAGACGGCATGCACAAGCATCCCCACCAACCAATGCATAATGAGGTATTTTTTTTTTATATTTTCATGTTATTTTAAATAAATATATTGATTAAATTGCAAAGTTATGAGACAGAGACATTAAATATTCCACCACGATAGCTAGCTAGCTACAGTTAGTAATAAATAATGATTGTTAAATACTTAAGGCATCTTTAATCACAGCATTCTATGTGGACTAGCAAAAAAAAAAAAATAAAATAAAACCTCCATTTTTCATGTGTTTGTAATCTTTTTGGGATGGAGGTTTACATTATGTTGATAAAATGAAAAGAAAAAAAATGCAACACAAACAGTCAAGTTACCTTTCAATAGTACACAAGGAAGCATGAAAATACTTTTAACTGAAAGAGAAGACAAAAACCTCGGACGAGAAGTACCCACACCACCAAACCAAAAATATCAGGCAACGCCATTTTATAGTGCATTTACAAAACACAAGCTACATTAGAACGACAATAAATAGTTTTTATTTTGCAGCATTGCAGCTTCTTCTTAACTATGGTTAAAATGGACATGGTTTTGGCATATTAGTACCATGTCCCGATTGGCAGGTGAGCAAATAAGACAAAAAAGAAAACAGAACATTCAAAAGAAGAAGGAAAAAAGCAAATAAATGGAAGAGAAAGACGATTTAAATGAAAAAAATGTTAAGAACAGTTGTTTGGTATTTTTCAAATGAATGGCTTTTAACTCCCTTTCACCCTTCTTCAAGTGAAATATGCCAACATGGTTCATGCATGATACAGAGAAACAGCTTCTATCACTGAACATATCACAGTTCTAGCAATAACCATACACAAGCACCATGAGGGAGAGCGGGTGGGGGGGGCGATCGTACACATTCTAGCACGTTTCACAGGCAGACTAGATCGGATATTCCCTGTAACACCACACAGTCTTTTTCTTTATAGAATTTCAAACAGCCAGAGCAACTACGATTGAAATGCAAGGAGCTGATACACGACAGAGGCGATTTACTTGTATATAGTAATCACATGTGCTTCTTTGATAGGCAATAAGGTTCTGGTATTAAGAAATAGAAATGTCACTCAAATGACGAGACTCAGGCACTGCAACATCAGCCTCTTGTGAGTGCCATCAAGACATGAGCGGGCATGGGACGCTTTCTGGTTGGACGGTATTTTTATAAAGTCACGGTTTCAATACCACTAAAGTTTTCCCACCAGACCACACCTCTGAGGTTTGAAACCATTTTGGTCTGAAACGCCAGTGATGGTGATATTTATACATGTAGTGGGGATCTTTTATGAAAGAATTAGAGATGCTCTGAGGAAATCTAGTGTTGGATAGCTTCAACAGACCAGTGAAAAATAAAAGAAATATATTTACTATTTTATAACACTCCAAACCTTAGAAAAAAATCTCATACATTAATGCTGTAGAAGGGGTCAGGAAGTTAGTTTTTTTAAGAATATGTAAAATATGTATTTCGTTGAAAATAAGTCAAGGAAGCAGTGATTTTAAAAAAAAGCAACTGCTGAAAGCAAGCTGAGTTGAGTTCAACAAAGGATCCATATTTTAGGAAACACACATGGAGGCTGCTTCTTTTGGTAAAGCTAGCAACTCTAACCCCACTAATTGCTCATATAAGAAATTAAAGCCAAAAAAAAAAAAATCTGTTTTGTTAAAAAAAACACAGTGTGTGTCATACAGCCTACAGTATGACACACACTGCGTGACATCACCCCTAATCCTAATGTGAAATTAACAGACTGTTAATAATACTTTTAAAAAAACTCAGTTTAATCATTTGTATTAGGTAGCCGTTTTAAAACTCAAACTTTATAAATAAAGGAGTCAGTTAGTCAAATAAAGTGCTGCTCAAGCGGTCAACATGACCTAATGTCAATGTTGTCAGTACAGAAATATGGATTTAGAATTTACTTTTTCAATACACTTTTTTTTTTTTGGTTAAATCTATCACTGCAGAGATCAGAGCTTACATACATATATTCCTCTATTAGCTGCTTTGCCACATCAGTCAGTGCAATCGATCTGCTTAAAAAGACACAATAAATGTCACATTTACTGATGCTTCCACAGAGCCAACAGTAAAAAAAAACTACTGAGACTCACATCTTCATCATTTAGACTTTATGGAAGTCCAGTATCCGTCTCGACACACTTCAGCGCAATCCTCCTATTGGGCCTGATTCAACATTTTCGTATTCTTGTCTTAAATATCTTACTTTTTCCTCCTGACGTAGGCTTTTACTAATGCTCCACATCAGATTCAATTAACGTTCTTAACTTTAGTAAATAATCCTCATAAACGTGATGCACGTCATCTATGCATCCCGAGAAATATAAATCTGCTTAAAACCACCACATATAAGGCTACAAATTCCCACTCGTCTGTGAATGAACATGCTGGTGTTCATTCACAGAAATGGAGTCGAAGACAAAGAAGAAAAACTTTAATGGTTTTAAAGGTCTGACTGAGAGCTGAGCAGCAGAATTAAAGGACCAGTAAAAAGCCAAGCAGTGGCAAATAAATAGGAGCCATGAATACCGGGGTTGCACTGTTACAGAAGTAAAAATGAAATTTAAAAATATAAATAATGTAAAAACAAAAATCATTTGATACGAAAACAGCCAATAAAAACTACTGCTGGAGGCAAAAGGTGCAACATATGCTGTAAATACTTAAAATGAGTTCAAGATCAACCAACACAACAACCTTTTCCTTTTAATACAGACACACCTATAGCGTTTATCTCCAGAGCACGTCTCCCTCCCCTTAATCATATTCTATATCTCTCTCAAAAAGCATAAATATATATAAAATGTTAACAGTTAAACTCTAATTTCACGAAGTCAGACCCAAACCTTAATATTCTGCATTTAGTGTTATAACAAAGACAAGCAGCTGCCATCGATTTAAATGGATGCAAGTTTCACCATTAGAGGAGTTCTGCTGAACTTTCCATCCATTTTCTGTTCCAGACGTTATTTCGATTGTAGTTTGATCTGTGACCGTTCTATATTTTGGCGAAATGACAAAAAAAATTAAACCAGTGTCCTCTGGATACTGACATATCAGCTGCAAATATTGACCGATAGAATACAATTTTAATTTATAACTGCAGAGTTGTATAACATATAAAGATATAGCCTAATCAAATGGACAAATGTTTTCTAAAAAAAAACAAAAAAAACCCCCAAAAAACTAATGTAGTAAATCAGTGAAAAACTAGGTCTGGATAACAGCTGACTGATTGCACAAGACTGCTAAGCAAGTCTGGAAAACTCGTAAAATCGTTCGTACCTGAGAGAAATAGGAGAGAAATTGTGACATTTTCTCCTAAATCAATCCTAGGAAGGATTTAAGAACAAGTTTGATCGTATGAACGGTTCTTGCATGAGGCGCAGTGCCCAATAAAGGGATTATTAGACTGAATATGACTGATGAGGCACATTGAGCTGATCTGATTTCACCTCAAGATTAAGCTTTTTGAAAACAAAAAGTTCAGAGCATTGTCTTCAAAACAAAATTTGTGTTTTGGGATAGTTTACTCTATTGGGGTACTTATTTTTCTCTAAAATATTATTGATCATTTCATTATAATGATTAACTAAATTAAATGGCAGAATTTTAGGGTTTAGCTAAAAAAAAAAAAAAAAGAGAAATTGATATATACGACACCAATAGATAAAAATTGTAATACCAATAGCTTTTTACACTGATTTTAAATTCAGTTTATTATTTGTTCAATCATAAGCTGTAAATAAGGGAGCTAAATATCATTTTAAAAATGTAACCGTGAGCTGATCGTATCATACACCCTTACTGTTATTTATGCTATCCTTTTGTACAATCTGAATCTCTTTTAAAAAAAGGTCTGCACACCCAGACTTTAAGTTTCATCTGACATCTCCAGGATTCAAATTATGATAAAATATACAGCTGACATTGATTTAGAAAAGTGCAAATAGCTAAATTTCATATTATTTCAAAACAATACTATAGGAGTATGTGGAAGCCTCTTAGCAGCAGTTGAATTAGTTGTATTTATGTTCTTGAATGAAAAATCAATCTTGTACTGCTTTATTTTTCTTACACCAAGAAACCGTGGCATTTTTTTTCCTGTCTGTTTTAATACCATGAGAATCTCATACCGGCCCATGCCTTGTGAAGAGGGAGGCTATGGAGGGGAGTTGCCATTAGACCCAGATCCACCCGCAGATCTTTGAACCCTAACCGACGTGATTAGGAGAGAAATGCCACACTGGCGTGAGATCAGCATCTAAAGGCAAGCATGGTCTACTCCGGATGAGTAGCAGGGTGAGGGGATGGCTGTGGGGCTACTTGAGTGCATTCTTGTCCTCCTCTATGAATGATCATAATAAACGGTTCACATGCACAGACACAGTTCCTGTTTCTACTTGCTCCACAATATCAACGACACAGCCCAAGCCTGCCAAACAGCATGCAGATCCGAGGCCTCCGCTCTAGGTTTATGGAGGCCCCGCTACGACACTACGCACATCACTGAAAGCCATGCCTGCAGTTAGTGGGATTAGCATCACCTCTGATGGCGTCTACTAACTGTAAATCCAAAACCATGTGAGACACGAAAGAGGGATTTTTGGCCTTTTTTTGTTTTTTTTTTGTGTTTTTTTTACTTAGCTCTTTCTCCCATTGCTGAATACTCAGTAGAGCCATACATATAGCTATACAGCCATATTCTTCCTCTGTGTAGGATTATCTTCAACAAACATATTTCTCCAAAAGGCTTTTTTGCTTGCTACACAACACTGTTACTCTGTAAATACTTATTCAGTACTATACTCCATTACACCACAAGCGTTCAGCTACAAGGGTTCACACCAAACAACCTCATGCTAATCATTTGACAATGTTCTATACAGATGTGCTGAGTCAGGGCTTGGGCAGAGTGCAGCTTAAAGGATTTTTCACAGGCCTAGAAGGGAGAGGGCAGAGAGGGCTTGGATTCACTGGCAGAGAAAAAGCCCTGAAACACCACACTGAGCTCAGGACGTTGGCAGTCAAGAGCGTCCTCTCTCTTGGCAGGTGTATGGAGAAATGTACGTGGGTGTACACGATCTGCCAGAGTCGTGTGAAGCCTCAGCACATCCGTCCATACGTGTCTCTTCTTCTACCCCTCACATCCAGCAAAGTCCCTTGAACTGACCTTCAGTTCAGTCCAGCCACCTGTCTGTGCGTCAGCCGCCCGTCTTTCTTCTTTTGTTGTGTTGTAGGTTGAGTGTGCTTTGTTGATCCCTCTGTCACGGCTGTCTCAGAAGGCAGGCTCTTTGAGTGATGCAGAAGGGAAGAGGGGTGTTTGGCAGGACCTCCCCAGGGATTAGGGGAGACGATGGAGAAATAACAAGACCACATCTAAAGCTGCAGGGGTAAACAGGAGCCATCAACTATCAGGGTTCAGCTGAGTTTCGATGTCCACTCTGCAGATGGGGCATTTCCTGCTGGTGGCCAGCCACTGATCCACGCAGGCCTGGTGAAAAAGGTGCATGCAGGGTAATCTCCTAAAAAAGAGCAAAGACATTAAAAACGTCACAAATGTTTGATTACGACATAAAATATGGGACATCCACCTCATATTGATCTTATAATGCATAGCATAGTGCATTAAGTTAAAAATATAGGTCAAAACTGATTATGCAGTGAGAAGAAGAACAAAAGGCGCATTTTTCCACTTGCGGTGGGGTACAGCAGGCAGTTGTGCATATTGTATGTTAATGCTGGAAGCATGGGCAGCTGCTGTAGATCAAACCAACTCAAATGAAAGAATTGTAGGATTAACTTTAAACTTAAAACTAAAAAAAAAAGGTTGCCGATCGGAGTTTGGTCTCTTTCAGCAGGTCAGATCTTGTTGATCTCCTCCTTTCAAAGAGCCATCCAAAAGACTGATTTTGGGAGAATTCAGGCCTAATTTGAGAAGCTATCCTGGAGTACAGCATTCTAATTGGAAAACAATGATTAGAAGGAATTAATATTAGACTCAAGACATGCTAATGTTAACTGTTTCTTGCCTTGATGTCTTAAATGTGATATTTATAAAGCAAACATTAGGCGTTTTTATCAAAAGTGTATATATGCACTTTCATTTTTTCTTTAATTGGCCAGCAACCAAATGTAAATGATGCAAATTTCACATTCCTCTTTGACAGCTGTTTTAAGGCACTTGTGCGCAACATTGAGGACAACTTGAATATTGTTATCTGATAGCTGCAGTTCAAATGAGCAATGTTCTACTCCAGGTTCTCCCCTTGTGCTTGTCCATCTCAGTATGAGGAGGAACTTGTGTTTGTCTTTGCTGTGCAAGGTTTCGTTACTTCCTCTTTGGTCATAGCCTAAACAGATTTCTTTTGCTTATTATCCCTCTCTAGCAGTCTATTTTAGGCTCTTATAAAGTTAGCATTATAATGTCAGTGAGTACAATGTCTTTGTTTATAAAAACTATTTGCTCTATAAATGTTTTTCTGCTCCTTTAATAATTAATACTTTTACCGTCATCGATACAATTTATTAATTGAATCGAACCTTTAACCTTGTCTTTGTCTTTTTTTAAAACACTTCTATTGAAACACCTTGTCTTCATCCTTTGTCATCCATTGTCTTCATCACACACTGAATTACTAATGTGAAGCTGTTTAGTTTAACATTCAGACTCGTAACAAAAATCCACTGATCATTAATTTTTCAACATGATCTAATACAAGCATTGTATGTGTTGCCTCAAATCTACCTTTAGAGACAACTGTTTCAGAGAAACTGGATTCCAAGAGCCTGTAATGAAGAAATGAGGTTCCTATTCTACTCTTAAATACAACAGGGCAAATGTTTGCATGGGACTGCTTTTGGACAAATGAAACAAATCTCCACATATATTTTAGTGCATCGCCCAAACCGGATTATAAAATACTCAATAACTGCTCACGATATTGTATGAAACAATAATTCTAGCTAAAGCCAATTTTATTCACACTGATTTAACAGACATGCCTTTTCTCAGCTATACACTGCAAAAACGAATAACAATTTCTTAAAATTAGTGTATTTACCCTTGATTTGAGAAGTTAAATAAGACAATCTGCCAATGGAGTTAGTATTTTCACCCTTAAAATAAGATAATCAGATATTTTGCACTTGAAATAAGAGACTACAGTTGTTTTTTTCTTATCTTAAATGTAACTTGTCTTATCCATTAACAATGTTTCTCACTTACCTGCTCAATGCAAGACCAAATGCACATAATTTAAGAAAAATAGACTTACTAATATTGATATTTTTTGCATTTGGACAATTTATATATGCCGACAAAAAAGTTGAATTTTCCATGCATTTTGGCTGAAAATATAGATAAAAACTGACATCACTGTAGAGGCAATTTAAAAAATTTTCATAGATAGACTTATTGGTTAGAGTCACTCTATCTTCTTTGAAACACTCTTTTATTCAGGCAAACCTGTAGTTTTATCAGGTTTTAAGACCTTGCCATCTTTTTGTCTTTCATAAAGCAAAATAACTACCTGTCACCTTCCCACTGAACATACATCCTTAGGTTTTATGGAATACTTAAGTTGCCTGGGTGCAGCATTTTCAACACATGATGCCATGAAAGAAAAAAAAGAAAAAGAAATACTGTGATGGGATTGTTAATGCCTGATACTTTGATGTTGGGTGGCAGAACCAATTTGGGCTTAAAAAGTGCTCAGACCATGTGACAGCTGTATCCAGCATGGATATAAATAAGGTCTGAAGAATGTAAATCACCTTTTCCCCCGCCTACACAACTTATTGCACAGTTATGATATAAAAGATATTACAATGACAGAAATGTTATAAAAATGCAAAACTGGATGGATTGATGCTGCAGAAGCTGCGTTTCCCCTACCTTACATCCTCTCCGTCTTCCAGCATCGACAGACAAATGGTGCACTTTTCATCCGTGTCCAGCTCCTCGTCATCCAGACACATTTTCAGGTCCTGCGGTATTCTCTGCAGAGAAGAGGAGAGCACACGCAAACAGACTTTAATTTTTAAAAGGACGCAGTGTTGATGCCACAGGGGTGTCTGAGTCAGCCAGGATTGGATAAGAAAAAAAAAAGTCACCTTATCACAGCTCACTGAGGAGAAGAAAAAAAAGCACAGAATATTCTAACACTTTTCCCACAGCATTTGGGTCAGACTGAGTGTAGACGTTTCTTTAAATTCACTCCACGCTCATATCTGCAGACAGCCCGATGACTCATACACTTCGCCTTAAATTATGAATGCTGCAGCTTCGTCTCATTAAATTTCAAAAGAAATCGGGTTGACCTTTGAACTACTGTAAGAGTTGTGACCTTTTCTCTCCACCTCCTGCTTCACTCTTTGATCCTTCCGACAGGCACCATTGCCGTTCTCTGTTATTTCCTTCATCACAGCTCCCTCCTCTCGTTTTTTTGGTCCCGGCGCTTTGTCGGAACCATCAAAAAAGATTGTAAAGGGCCTCCAGTCCTACCTTTTTGTACTTGTGGGGGAAAGTGAATCTCTCGATGGTTGTTTGGACGGCTCCGCGGTTCACGCTGCCCAGTCTGTCCTCCAGCTGCAAAAGCTCCTATGAAGAAACATGAAAAAAAAGACAATTATGTAATGAAAGCAGGCAAAGATCACTAGAAAACTGCTGTCAAAAAAAAAAAAGATAAAAGGCATCTGAAGCATTAAAACCATTTAACACAAATTAATTGAAAAAAAAAAAAAATCTTTTACAAACTACAGAACAGATTAATTATTGAAGAACAAGATGTATGTAGAAGAGAGCGTGAGGAAGTAGCTGCACACACCTCATAGCTCTCTCTGACGGCAGAGGCGTGTCGGGATGGATTGAGACTCTGCAGAGCAAGCAAGTGCAACTGGGGATACGGGTAATTTCTGATCTCATGGACGACCTAAAAAGTGACGGATAAAAGCAGTTGGCATCAGCTCCACAGCAGCTACCAAGCTTTGAGAAGCTCAGAAAACAAATGATTAATCTGCAAGAGGTTGATAGAGACAGATGTGATTTATTGCACAGAGACCGAGTGGGTGGGGTGGGGTTCTCACCACTTGTGTTGAGGCATTGTTTCTGGGGAAGTGGTGCATCCTGGGGGAGGTCAAGTAGTGCTGATAGTGCTGCGGCAGCGGGTGGATGTGGTACTGGTGAGGGGGCAGCCCAGCATCCACGCTGAGATCCCTGATGAAAGATCAAAATCAGCTAAAAGCTCTGTGTTTTATAGGTTCTAAGAAAAGCTATTTTCTACTGATTGATTAAATATAATAAGAGCTGTTTACAAGCTGTATTAATACGTTAAAGGACACATTTTGTAATCAATCTTCAAAGTGGAGGAGACAAGAGAAAAAAAATACGCATTTGATCTTCATAAATCAGGAAACCTATAATTCCTCACTTTGATATTGAAAACTTTACCTATCTGAGGTCACCAATTCTTTTCCCTGAAAGTGGAGGAAGCTATAAAAATAAATCTGCACTTCTTACGATTGTCTTTGAAACATTGAAGGAAATGCAAAAGGCGCTGCTCACCAGTCTGTTCCCTCAGCCAGGTAGCGAGGCTGCTGCACCACAGGCTGAGGAGGGACATGGAGTGGTGGGCCAAACTCATAGCCTGGTCTCAGTCTATGCGGCTGGTGTGGAACTCTCTCTGGGGTGCGTCTACTAAAAAAAACAAGCAAAAATATAAGAAGATCTTAGGGGACAAAAAAAACATGTGAACTCTATTTATACCAAATGTCTCTATAGATACCTGGAGGGCGGCAGAATGTGTCGGTGCTGAGCCTCGAGGATCTGCTGCTGGAGGAGGTATTGCTGGTGTAATGCCTGAGGTAGGAATGGAGGGCCGGGGATGTCCTGGAACTGAGGAGCGGGCAGTGGGTTCAGAGGTGGGTGGAGCGGAGGACCGTGCTGGTGGCCAGGAGGGGCCAAGTGGGGGTTTATGCCTGACTGCGGCTGCCCTGGATGGGGCATTGGGAAGTCCATGGGCAGCGGAGCCTGAGGACCTAACTGGAAGTGCCGGCAAGAGGTAGCATGGCTGTGCTGCTGCTGCTGTTGCTGCTGCCGGTTAAAATGGGATCCTGAGGAGGATACGAAGAACATGTCAGGAATCTAAACTAAAACACAAGGTAGAAATAATTGTGGGTGAAATTTGTTTTTTTGCATTTGTGTGTGTGTGTGATATAGCATGTTAATGAAGCCCTATGTCTTACCTAGGTGAAAAATACTTCTGGGTGGGCAGAAAAGTGATGGTTACCACAAGCACCATGAAAATGACAACCCATTATTGGTCCTGCACAGAAAATCGCAAACTTTTCTTACTTTAACTCTACCGTAGGCTCTCGTTATGGACTCCTGGTCTTCTGATTCAAGAGAGAAGAAGAGACAGACTCTACCGGTTCCTGGTCAGGGCTTCAGTGCACTTCAGTTTGCATATATTCTGCACCTGACAACAGGTTAGCCTACTGCAAACATGATTGTCTCGCTCTAGGAAAATTGTCATCAACTTCTGCGCTACTCACACTCTGAACTTTTGAGAAAATTTCCAAAAATAATTCAGGTAATTATCTGGTATTTTTCTCAAGAAATATATTTCTAACCGACTTTGTTGACATCATATTGATGCAATTTGTTGGGACCAACCCAAACAATCCACACATAGAAAGATAACAACAAAGAGAATATAATCCCTCCAAATATATACCCTCTGAGATTATTTTTAAATACAAAACAAATGCTCTTATTTGTAATTATTGACTACAAGCCTGAATGTGTGCTAATTAAAAATTTTTTTCTGTGTTCAATAAGACAGCATGCCATTGTCTTTGACTGCTTTTTTTTATTTATATACCTGTTCTGCAACCTGTAAAAAAATTGTATAGATGCAAATTTAGTTTATGCTATAATCTGGAGCAGTGCATCAAATGGTGACAAATGTTTCAGCTGCACACCGTCCCTTTTAAAACAAAATTTCTTTGTTAGGCTAGAAAAACTAGTCACTGAATTTAATAATTTTGTATAACAACTTGGACTGACAGAGGATAAAAACTAAACAAACTGAGGAGCAAAAAGGCACAGAAAGCTGAAATCTGAAAATCGGTCCTTTGCAAAANAAAAAAAAAAAAAAAAAAAGCCGACAATCATAATCAAATCTTTTTTTCAAATCATACTCATGTCACTGTTTCAAAAAAAGCTATTAGAAGATTTAAAAAGCTAACAACCCTTGGCAGTTTTTAAGACCTGGAATGAGCAGAAATGCTATTTCCCACAAAACGTATAAGGAAAACACTTAATGACCTCTATACACTTGCTGCACAAGACTCCACTGATGAAGGAAATCTGTTAGAGTTAGTTGGCGGAGCATTTAAAAAGTCTAAGTATTTGTAAAAGTCCAATTTGTTTTGTTTTGCACATGAGACTGACAGACTTTACAATAATGAGGAATTGATTAGAAACTAAAAATTAAATGTGACTGGATTTCCTTAGTAATAACTCTATAAACTAGATAAATGGCAAAGATAAAAAAAATCAACTGATTTCTGTACATAACTCCACCAGAATTATCCAGTCTCTTCACTAGTTTATATTAAACTGTTACATCCTATTCAAATTGTCCATTATCATACTCCAAGTGTGATAAATTCAGGTTTTGTATGCCAATAAATATGTTCTGAATATTGTCATGCTGCACTACATGCTCACATTTGACATTAATAATGAATGCATCACAATAACAGATGGAAACAATTTTCCATTATATAATTTCTGCAGTATTCAAATATATTATAGCAAGATTTCTAAATGACACTCACCCCATATTTTTAGAAAACTTACGAAAGACCAAGGATTGGAAAAAAAATGTTAGTTTGGAAAATGGCTGTCATATTTTTCAACTGTCAACTGTAACACGAGTGATTTCATCATCCAAACTTTTCTTAAAACGTACATAGGCATGTCTATTACTATTTCATTTTTTTTCCAATGGCATTTAAGGAAAGTTTCAAGGCAGGCTTAGAAAGAAGGGCAACAGGATTTAATTACTGACAGAAGTGACTTCAGTTTTCTATTGCTATGGATACACAAATATTTTATGGGCTTCGTTCAGAAGTATTAAAGATACAAGTTTCCTGCATTTTGATTGGTTATGATCAGAAACAGGTGGGGCTCACCTAAGGCACTATTTGTGCAAGAACAGACACTATTCCTGAGCCATTACTGATTAATTTATTTTGTATATGTGGATTACTTGGGTTGTTGAAGACAGCCTTGATGTAAACATCATGTCAATAATATGATTCTATGTATTTTAACTGCTAAAAACAGTTAAATCTATAGTGATTTTCCAAACCAAAAGTGTTCATTAGCTTTTCCAATCATCCACTGTGACTATATTGTTCTTCCATTGAGGAGTTAAGAGGAAATACTTTGAATGCCTTTTTCTAGCTCTCCCACCACAGCTATTTGGCAGATGCAGGGAACAGACTGCTGTCTGGAAAACCAAGAGGGAAAAAAAACTGCAGGCTAGCTTACACTGAGGCACAAGGTTTTAATTCTCTGCCTAGAGAAGGCCAATTTTGATTCAGTTTGCAAAAATAAAGCTATAATTTAATCTGAAGTAAGCTTGTTTGGCCATAACAGAGCAAGATGTTAACAGCTTTATATACCTCCATTTTTTATATCAGAGGTAAAAAGAGAAGTTTTTGAAGAGCAATCAGAAAAACTGGTAGCCTGTTTAACAAAATTGCAGTTCAAGCGCAAAATGTAACCGTGTTCTAAATATACACATATTTTAGTTTCAGCTTGATAGTTTGTAAGTACAGCGAGGCAGACAAGAGGTTGAACTTGCTGCCACGGGTTGAGTCTGGACTGCAAACAGCAAACTGCGTTTTCAAGCAGGCTCAGTGAAAACGATCACCATGAATGACAGCAGATAGACTCATTCAGGCCCTGTGATGGAGGAAGCGTGGAAATCGTCTATCTTTGTCATAGCAGGAGAGGGGGTGGTTGAGGGGGGAGTGGAGAGGATTGGGTGGCGGGGAGGGGAGGGGGGGCAGGTAGGGACAAGGCAAAGGGGGATGGGGGGAGAATAAATGGAAATCAGCAAGAAGCACACTGAAGGTTAGGATAAACACTATATTCTTTATTGAAAAATATTAGTATATGTGAAATTGGTGTCGTTTTTTTTTTCCTTGTTTGTTCTTAATAATAGTATAAAACCATGCAACAAAACTAAACAACATAGATTGAAGGCAAGGCCCACCATGCTCCATATAGGGTTAAAAAAAAGAACAAAAGCAGCATCCAATGAGCAGACGTGTTGGCTACAGCACATGATTTCAGTACAGCAAGGGTACATCTTTACTACAGAAAGATTACATTGGATTTCCACTAGTCAATGTAGGAAACAAAATAAACAAAAATAATTATGAATCATAAAATGTGACCATGCACTGAAAGTACTATTACCAGAACAAAAGGTAAAGAGAGACCACAACCAAACAATAAAAGACGTTATTACTAATAAGAGGATCTCTTTAGCAGTGCAGGAAAAAATAGGCATCCCTGTGAAATGGATAGCATTTTGGTTTTATGTTAGTGGGGATAAATCAGAAAGTGATGAACCACCAGTGAGAAGGTTTTCTAGCTTTATGTTTGAGAAATTTCAGACGCCCGAAAAAAAAGGGGGCCCTGATTATTCAGTGTGATTCGAAGCTTGAAATTTTGGAAAAGGGAACAAAAATATTACACATAAAATGGAGACACTTATGGTAGGTTGTTGTGTGCAGGTGCAGTGTACCTTCAGGGAAAAAAATGCATGCACGTGGTTCCAATTTACATATTTGCTTTGTTGTCAATCGGAGGTTGTTTTGATCATGTACACTGCACCTTGAGTGAAGAGAAGGAGGATGAGCCAAATTCTGGTGTTCAATGATGTAAGTGCAGCACTTGAGATCATGCAAAATGTATCCACTTTACAGGAATTTACAGCATGTTGTCTAACAAGATTGGATGGGAGGTACACAATGACATTCAACTGATATCTAGAAAGGAGCTAAAAAAAAAAAAAGTTTACTCAGTGCTACAGCAATTTTGACAGAAAAAAAGACAAAACAAGGTGCTCTGTTCTAGGTGTTAGCTAGAGATTTTTAGTTTGCTTAACATGAAACAGTCTATGGCTGAATAAATCTTTGGGAAAGGGTGCTTTTAATACCAATGCCGTCTTCTGATGGAAAGAGGAAATGAAGAAGGGATTCACAATACAGCTAAATGCAGAGAACAGGCAGAGGCCACGCCACACCACACAGCAGCAGATGATCATTAGCTACACAATGGGGGGGACGACAAAGATCTGATAAATGCAGAATGTAGAGCCAGCCTCCATACTATGAAACAGGGAAATAAGAACAGAAATAAAAGCACAATGAAAATCACTGATGCCACTGTTGTAAAATTAATGTTACACTGTAGCTTTTATAAATGCATCACCTAACTATGAGCGCTGATCGGGGTTATATTTGCAGCTCTGCAGCTTCAGACAAGCAGCTGCTGGATTTGCCAATTAGCAAAATGAAAAACTCAGTGATCGGATAGATAAGATAGATCTATGCTCTCTCACACGCATTGATTTGCACGCTAACTAATTAACACTGGTAACAATTAGCCGGAAAATCTGTTCACGCCGACAGGAGCGAATGATCTTCAAATGACATCATCCAGCCTCAGATAAGCTGACTGGCTGGAGAGGCTACGTCTATTTTGCGGTATTTTAACGCTGCGAATACACACGGCAAAATTTACCGTGATAGCCATACAGATTTGATAAAAGCGAATGAAAAAAAAGATAAGGGAATTGCAAAGCAGCTGGTTTTAACACTTGGCCGCGCTCTTGAAGCGTGTGGAAGCCTTTGTGGCAAACGTTTCCGTTCCAGGATATAGTCTGGCCCAACGAGACTGTTAGCTTATCGGTAGCAAGGGCATTGCTTTTAAACGTTTCCTTTTTCAACCCAATAAATAATCTCGGAAAAATTAACATTAAAATGTAAGCTTTGCTTACCTTCAACGACTTAAAATAATTAAAGTAGAAACAAGGTTTTGCGGTCGCTGTCAAGGAAATCTGGAGGGTTTTAAGCTAACGAGAGCTAACGCGACGGCTAGCCAACAGCTGCAGTGAATATTAAGATAAACAGGGCACATGTTTTGAATCGATGTGAATACTAATACCGTACCTCTGTTTCTTACTGAGCCGAACACGGGAAGAACCAGATATCCTACATGCACTAACACCATCCTGGGATCCGTATCTTATGGTTCCGCCGGGTCTTTTAGGGAGATGGAGCGGTAGTAGCAGCCCATGCGGATCTACATTCAGGCGGCTGGTTGTTGCTGGCTGACTGGCTCGCTGGCAAATACTAGAGGCGAACCAGCGACTGTCTGACTGGGCTGCCTGACGCTGACAAAAGCAGACATGTCATTTTTAGTCCAGAGCAGGAGAGGGCGCTGTTGCAACATTACATGCTGTAGCAGGAGGTATCTCAAGGTGAACCCTGCCCGAACCGAACTGATCTTTACGGAAGAGGATTAGGGCCACACTGAAAAAATAAGTGTTAACTGATTTTTAAATTTTATTTCAGTATAATATGAGAAAAAAGTCAGAATTCTGACATTAATCCTAGAATTCTGAATTTTATGTCAGAATTCTGACTTTTTCCTCAAAAGGCTTATTTTTTTCTCAAAAGGCTTACTTCTTTTTCTCAAAATTCTGACTTTTTTTCTCAAAATTCTGACTTTTTTTCTCAAAATTCTGACTTTTTTTCTCAAAATTCTGACTTTTTTTCTCAAAATTCTGACAGCTAACAAACATGGTAGCATCAAGCCATAGTCATCTCTGTTTTAGAGACTAAACTAGCTCTCTTGTTTTAATCACATTCGGCTCTTCCATTAAGGAAATAGCATCAGCGGAGACCCCTCTGGCACGTAAAAAGTCACCTAATTCCGTCATTTTCCACCAATGTTTTACTGGCCCTCTCAAGCAAGTTACATCTTTGTCAGTGAAGCTGAGTGCTCCCACATCTCTTCCTTCATGGTG